ACCCCGAAGTTGTCTCCTACGTGCTGTTTAGAGTCTGAAAAAACACACTAGCAACAATCACGATGTCATTATTCCTCACCATGCGAAAAAGAGATGAGTTTATGCTAGAAATCGTCTTTGATATCCTCTGAACTGCATTCAGTCGGGGCATAAACGAAGGTAATGAAAAGACACCCTGTTTTCAAACAGTGCACATTCACCTCAGTAGGGGGTTAGAACTGCTGTCGTATCGGGTCCGTGACGGATGCAAACCCCTCACTGTCGGGGTGGTGTACAAGCCCCGTCTAGTAAAGATGCCCGCGTTCTGGATTCAGTTGAAACTTATGGGAGAGGCTGGAATTACTGACTCGGTGGATTTCAACTCAAAGGGCTTCGACTGGGATCTCAACTGTAAACCCTCTCCTGTATCCTTTGATGCCGCTCTCCTTGGAGCCATTCTCGAAGTTAACCTAATACAGCATGTCTGCAAGCCAATCAGGATATTCCCAGGTCAGCCACTGCAAATCCTCGATCTAGTGTTGACACCGACACTAGCTGACTTTTCAGATCTGAACTCTCTCACAAAGAAGACAAGCTCAATGATAGCTTCCGTCGGACCGGTCGACTTTCCAGGATGACGACCACGTGACTCGGACTGCCGGTGGTTAGACGCGCTGGAAGTGATGGTGCGTAACAGATAGCAGTGGAGACAGTGTTGTTCAGCCACAGTACCTATTAGTTGATGTTTAAACGAAAATAAAAACTCCAGAAGGAAAACGCAGAACGGTGTGTAAAAACCCGAAAAAGTATCTCACGTTGTATTTTGTTCCCCCCTATTTCCTCATTATGGTTCGGATGGCACATTGTCTGTAATCAAGTCGTGAATATATATACTCTCACCAAATGGCCATAGTGAAGACTGCACTCCCGTTCTCATGTGGACATAGCGCTAGGCCAATCCCAACCGAGGGGTCTACCAGTGGAAATCCCGGAACACTAATCCATCCTGTCTAAGAACAGCTGCTAGCACTCCATATTGGACCATCTCTCAAGACCTAGATGTTGACGGTGCCTGGTAGCTTCTACGCTCCAAAACAAAGCTGTTCATTGAGCAGGCTGTCCCAAACTCCAGAATGAAGCCTCGCGCAGACGGTCATTCTTTGATTGATCGAAATCTGCGGTTTCTCGTGAAGCAGCGGAGAAAATTGTGCGGATCATTCGAACTATCAAGCGCAAGAGAAGGCAAAAAAATGAACACTGGCAGAACAATATTTAGCTAGGCCAAAAAATTATATGCTTATCTCAACAAGAGAACCGCAGCAGATTGCCGCATACCCGCTTTAGCTAACCCGACAGGTATCGCGTTATATGAAGACGACAAGAAAACAACTGTCTTGGCCCGGTAACACTTCCGTATATGCACCAGAAGCCGCATCGACCAGCACATATATATACACACATTTCTACCACCAATAACTTATTGAAATTATCCCGCACAATTGCGAAACGTCTACTTTAACTGAACTTGAACTCATCACCTGGCCCCGACAGACTGCAGCCTTTTTTCCCCACAAAATCGTGGCTGACTAGGTTGCCTCAACCATCTACCAAGTCTTTCAACAGCCTTTGAAGGTTGGTGGTTTACCCATCAATTGACTGGGACCGTAATGCCTAAGTACAATGGGGAAATGGCTCGTAAGATGCGAACCACCCCACCCCATCTGTTTGAGATTTAGCATCTTTAAGGATACTGAAAAGATCACCAACCACGCTCTACAGAAGTAATGCGATGAGAATAACATCATTCCCTCTACCTAGAATGGTTGCTAGAAGAGAAGTTCCTGTTCCACTAACTTGCTGGTGGTGAGAGAAAAGTGGCCATAGCCAATTGATGTCTGACACTGCATAGATGTGATTTTCGTCGATTTTGACAAAATGTTCGATAAACTCTCACATCAGCGGCTTCCCTGGAAGCTTATGGAAATCGGCATTATTTGCAGCTTTTATTTGTGAATTGCCCACTTCGGACTATGCAAGTGAGAGTGAAAGAAACACTTTTCAAGCCAGCGGTCGCACAGTGATCTGTCGATGGACCTAAACTGTTCAAGCCGTACATCAATGATCTCGTCGAAACACTACAAACCGAATGTCTGATCAATGCCGACGACCCAAACTGAGGTCTGAAGTATCTGATCTTGACGCAGCTGATCGACCACAGCTGACCCTTGATCTATTTTACGACTGGTTCAAGTTGGGCTCAAAGATAAAGTACGAAAAATGCTGCACCCTAGTGATTGGGGCTTCTAAGCGACTTGGAACTTGCCGCATTCGTGGGTTCTTTCTCAAACACGCTGCGCAAGAGAAAGATCTAGACGTAATAATAGCACCTGATCTGAAAATCACACAGGATGCACTGATGAAGTCACCGTTGCAAATAGGATATGCTGGGACACAAGTAGATCCTATCTAGAATAACACCACAGATCATAATGATAATAGGAATAACTCACTTTAAGTGAGAAGCTGCGCCCATATTTGGCACAGATCCTATAGGTACAGGTACTAACATGCGAATAAAAACCAGTATATTCCTTGTCGGTGAGAGGTATAGTCCAACGGGATGTTACGTTTCGTGATGAACGGCGAAATCGCAAGGAGCAAATGTGCATTTTTAAAATTCCGAAGCAGTTTCCCAACTATGTTTCGGACACGGTTAATTGACTGGTTAAATCTTTCGGGAAGAAAGTGTTAAATTGCGCTCTCGAAATGCGAAAGTCGGACTGAGCAACGCTTAAATCTCTATTATCATGATAAAAATGAGAAACTATTTATAACGAAACAATGGCTTTGGGTTGTGGCATACATCTCCGCGCCGCACACTTCTGGCTGAGCCGTCCACGCTAGCTGAATGGTTCTGACTGTGGCGTTTACGCTGTCTACTCCGCACACGCTCCCGCTTTTGGATAGCTCAGTCGAGCGGGCGTCCACATGTTTGGCTCTGCGCCAAGTTTCCGTTCGGCCAAAGTTCTCACGGTGTCAGCAAAATGGGTGCCAGTTTCCACCTCTTGCCACAGAGGTTGTCAAAAAATAATGTGTAAATAAACCCAGGTGCGAGCGATTGTAGATTATAATCTGTCAGCTGCATTCCCACTCTTTAAGCCTGAATAAGCCTTAATCGAAAAGGTCCAAAGACGTGGCTTTGTCTATTTTCAGGCTTCGTGATCTTCGCTATTCCCTCCGGCTTCTGCAGATGGATGTTTTAGATGGAATACCGTTGTCGCATACTGAGGGGAACTAAGGAATCAGCCGCAGCAGCGTTTCTAGCTCCACATAGATGGCTCGACGCGAGGTCCATTAGTGAGTAGAGAGCAGAAGGGGAGATCCTCGTCGGCTCCGTCGATTCCGATTAAGTGCAGGTTTGACGCAAATGGCTGCGAAGCGGTATTTCTCTGGGGATGGTCGCCGTTGTAGTATGAGTAACAGTAACACAACCATGTGTTAGTCAAACAGCCGTTTGAAACTTTCCTCCGTTGGTGCATGAGCAATGCTCTCTGGCAAGTTGTTTCAATCATTCAATACAAGAACTCATAGGGCAACCTCTGGACGGACATGAAGTATTCGGTGCCAAAAGTGGTTTTGTACCTCACTCCGGCGGGTGTAACAGGTGCTGACGATGATCAATGTAGAATAAGTTGAGGAAGAGGATACACAAGATCTATAAGCTCCATGACGGATTTCGAGCCACGGCTCCGAACGCTTTCCAGCAAGCCGCATTTAGATTTCAGACTAATATCGGACGAACGTGATCAGCACAGAATTCTAAAAAGTGACGGTGATACGGGAGAACGACTTGCATAGAGTACCCAGCATCGTTTTTGCGGTCGTGACCTTTCTCATGTGACACAATAAGCCCCCAGACCTTTATCGTGCGTGACATTCTTGATGTCCTCCAATTTTGTATACACTGAATGAATCCGGGTTACCAATCGAGAGAACAGCATATTTATCGGGGTGTACGGGTAGTCGCCACTATACAAACCAATCGTGTAGCTGGTCTAGCGCCGTTTGGAGCCTGTCCGCGTCCTCAAGGCTACCTACTTTTGGCTATAGCTTAAAATAATCAGCCTAGACTAAGCAAACGGGTTGAAAACCTAAGGTTATTAATATAGAGCTCGAAAACTTCAGGCCTAAGGACAAAGCCTTGTCGAACTGCGCTAGTCATAGACACTCAGACAGCGTTTGGCTCACATTGAGTAGAAGAACCTGACTTCTCACAAATAAAACCTATGCAAACCCAGGAGCTTCAAAATCGGCACCGCTATGGCCCTTTCCATTCGGTTAGTGAATGGCTGGAACTGTACTAGAAAATGTGAAGGCGTCGACAGAGGGAAGTTTCAAACGGCTTTTGCCCACGCACCTGCGTAGACACTAGAACCACAGTCTTGTTATAATAATTGCATTAGAAGATTACAATCAATGTCGTCTTCATCATAAAACAGAAAAAAAGAAAACCTTAAAACGCAGGATAATGGACTGTGAAGTCGCAAGTTTGATCGCCTGGTACCGGCAGTACAAAATACGGTTTTGATATCCATGCTAACGACATACGGCTGCTTCGGTAACCTGAAAGCTACCAGGCCGCGATGAGATATGTGTTCCTAGTGCAGAACTGGTAGTGTTGGCTAACGTGGTACCTCCTATCTGCCTGTTACAACAAAACTAACATGTGCAGGTTTCAAATCAGAAAATTTACCGAAATGTGTCATACGTTTTCGAAAATGGAAAAGAAGTAAACACCAGTATCCAAAGTTGAAACATTAACATTCGGAAGAAATGTAATCTTGCACCACTGCACAAAATACAAATTTACCCGACCGAGTGACGTAAGGCATCGCGAGAGAAAGACCGTCAGTATTCGCAGTCAGAGAGCGACGGGACTATTGTTCCAGTGTGACGTGACGGCAGTGGCTAATTTGTTACATGAAAAATTGACCTGGAGGGACTTTGTGTTCCTGTACAACAGACTAAATGGTGATGCATAACTGGATTTGAAAGAGATGTGTATAGGTCGCTTTGTGCCTAAGTATATACACAAAATGGTTGTTGGAAAGATTTAGTAGTTGTAAATTCCACTTTCTTTCATCGCATCCTCAAAAAATACAATATTCAGACAGGAGATATGTATACCCCTTATTCAAGCAAGTAATTTACTTTTACCATTAGCTTCAGGCAAGCATATCCTTTACATACATGAAACAATTGCATTAAGGCTTATTTGTTCCAGAAAACAGACGTTCACACTTCACTAGTATGTACCGTTTGCCCTTTTTCCACCATGCCGTGAACTTCAACTGCACCTGTATTCATCACTTTAATGTATTATAACCGTTTTCACGAAGCACACATTAATACCATCGTAATTAAGAATATACTATGCAGCCACTCAATTGATTTTGGCTGTCACCGAGGACAATGTAAGCGAAACCCTTTCCCGCCAATACAGAAATTAGCCCTTCCCGTGACGTGACTCACGCTTAGAACAAAAAACGCCAACATTATGTGGGCGAGAAAAAACGGTGATCAGAGCAAATAAAGAAGACCAATAAATACAGCAAAATAACGGATGCATCTAAAGTTATGTTTATATAGACACAAAGCATTAACTTTTTTATTTTAAATTTACGTATCCATCTTTAGTTTGTCATCAATTCAGATCGGGACAGGTCAGGTCAGGTCATGTCAAACGGACGATAGAGGCTTCCGCCTAACGAACGTCCAGTTCTTGTGTCGGTGAGTGAAGCGGCCCCGGCACTTCGACGTTGGATTGTCTCTTCTTGCTGTGCAATGTAATGAAGCAAGAACAAGAGCAATTTGCACTTTCATATACCAGCATTAAAATGCACTACACATTCCAGCGCAAACTACAACATATCTGGAAAAGGATGGACCAAAAATCTTCTAAGCCCCTGTTGAAGGCTTCTACGGTCCCCGACTCCACTAAATCAGAAGGAAGTTTATTCCGTAAGTTAACTACTCGGTTCGTAAAAAACTTTGCCCTGATGTCCAAACGAGCTCTTTGATGATGTTTGAGCTTCAGGCCATGCCCGCGCAGATGGTCTGACATAGCCAACTCAAACAGATAAGTGGAACCAATACCACTAAGTCCCTTAAGGATCTTCAACGTCTCTATAAATCCCCACTCAACCTACGCCGTTTCAAAGAAAATAACCCTGAGCAACTTAGACGATGTAGCGATTGTAAATAATTTGCTTATTTTGCATTTTCACGTTTACCTATTTTGCTGCGGTTGTTGTACAGCTTTGTTTTAATTAACTGTATATACACACACTTGGTTACGAGCTCGTCGTCCGTGTTTCTTCCTTGGTTGCCGCTGGATTGTTGTGATTGTGCGCATCGCTGCCCGCTTGGTTCACGATCGGACTCTACGTACACATGGATTTCGGCATACCTCGGGATTTACGGCCGTCCGGCGCTAAGGTGCATCAGGCTACTTTATATGTGAGGTAAACCTGACTGACTTGGTATTCTCCTTTACCGGTTCCTCCATATTTTTGGTGACCCCGCATTTTTATTTATATTTTGTGTATAGTTTCCTTTTTTCTACACAATGTCTGCTCAAGCGCCTGCCATTAATGCGTCGGAACATCCGCTTGGACTCGTTTTGCCTTCATTTGACGCTTCTAACCCGCGTGTTTGGTTTGTTCAAGTAGAAGCTGTTTTCCGTTTTCGTAGGATTACATCCCAGTCCACTATGTTTTCATATGTGACTGCTCACTTACCGTCCAATATCGCCTCTCTGGTCATCGACCTTCTTGACCCTATGCCCCTAGAGTCCCCCTATGTTAAACTTAAGGCAGCAATATTAAAGCGCACTACAGCCTCAAACGAGACACGCCTTCAGCGGTTACTCTCTGGTGTTGAACTTGGAGATAGAACGCCATCTCAGTTACTCCGACACACGCGATCCCTCGTTGGTTCTTCCGCACTGGGTGATTCCGTTCTCCGCCAGTTGTGGAGTAATTGTCTTCCTGCGAATACCACGGCTATTTTAGCTGTGCTTGCCGACGATCTCCCGCTAGACAAACTGGCAGAAGCTGCCGATAAGGTTCACGAACGCTTCATTAGAACGTCGGTATCACACGTCACAGAGACTAGCTCCGGCAGCCCCTCCAGAACCACGCTACTTGATACAATCAGCGAGAGGCTTTCTAACTTAGAGCACACCTTGTCCCATCTCAGACGCGACCGCGTTCCTTCGCGACGATCCGTTTCTCGATCCAGACGGTCTAGCATCTCTCGTACACGTAAGTCTTACCGTTATTGTTATTATCACCACCGCTTGGGAGACGCAGCGCGTAAGTGCCGTCCAGGGTGTAAACACCCCAAAGCCTTTTCAAGTCCTACGTCGGGAAACCACATGACCAGCTAGTAATGGCGGCGGCTGTCGCTGGCCAGGTTAATAGTCGCCTGTTGTATGTATTTGACTCCACAACCAAACTTCACTTCTTGGTTGATATTGGTGCAGAAGTCAGCGTTCTCCCCCGTTCTCTGGAAAAACGCCCCCTGCAACCAGCGGGTCCAATGCTTACGGCAGCTAACCAGACCAAAATCGCGACCTACGGCCAGAAATTATTTACTATGAGTTTCGAATTACGGCGTAATTTCTCTTTCGTTTTTACCATCGCCGATGTGCAAAAGCCCATTATCGGAATCGACTTCCTCAGCAAGTTCGGTCTTTTGGTCGACCTACGTTGTGGGAAATTGCGAGACGATACTACGTCTTTATGCATACCCTGCAAACTTGCCTCAGTCAATTCTCTCGGGCTTCGCATCCCCATCGCTGACGACTCACAGTATTTTTCATTGCTCCGACAATTTCCATCCATAATTCGTGCAAGTAACGACACTTCCGATCCTAAACACGATGTACGCCATCACATCGTTACAACCGGTCCGCCTGTAACTGCTAAAGCTCGACGCATGCGTCCTGACAAACTCCAGGCAGCTAAAAAGGAATTCCAACACATGCTTGATCTCGGCATTATTCGTCCTTCAAACAGCTGCTGGGCATCACCTCTCCATCTGGTGTCTAAAAAGTCAGGCGATTGGCGACCATGCGGTGACTATTGTGCTCTTAACAACGTCACTGTTCCGGATAGGTATCCTATCCCACACATCCACGATTTCTCGCTTGGACTAGCTGGAAAGTCAATCTTTACCAAACTCGATCTTGTCAGAGCTTACCATCAAATCCCAATGGCGGAGGAAGACATCGCAAAAACTGCCGTGATCACTCCATTCGGCCTTTACGAATTTCTTCGTATGCCTTTCGGCCTCCGGAATGCAGCACAGTCTTTCCAACGCTTTATGGATCAGGTCCTCCGTGGCCTTGATTTCGTCTACGTTTACATTGACGATGTCCTGATCGCAAGCGCCACACCCGACGAGCATTTATCACACCTGAGAATGGTTTTCGAACGCTTTGAAAACCACGGGATAAACATCAACCCGGACAAATGCAAATTTGGTCAGCCAACCGTCGAATTTCTCGGTCACAAGATCGATGGTGAAGGTATTAAACCCCTTCCGGATAAATCTCAAGCAATCCTCGACTACCCGATGCCACAATCTGTCCGAAGCCTTCGCCGATTCCTCGGTATGATCAACTACTACAGCAGATTCATTCCCAACTGTGCTGATTTACTTCACCCGCTTACCGACTTATTGAAAGGAAGCTCAAAGACGTTTACGATAACCCCAGAAGTTGAAGCCGCTTTCACGGCCGTCAAGCAGAAGTTCAGTGAGGTCACCTCTCTCCATCACTTGAACACCACGGAGGACGCTACACTTGTCCTTAAGACGGATGCTTCAAGTTCTGCTGTCGGTGCAGTTTTGCAATAGTTAGTTGATGACGAATTTCAACTACTGTCTTTTTTCTCACGAAAGCTTCAACCTGCTCAGGTCAGGTACAGCACCTTTGGTCGTGAACTGCTCGCCATGTACTTGGCTGTGAAACATTTCCGTCACCTCTTAGAAGGACGTCGTTTCATTCTCTTTTGACAGATCACAAGCCACTGGTGTTTGCCTTCCGTTCTTCCTCAGACCGTTACTCACCCCGAGAAACGCGTCACCTGGACTATCTTTCACAGTTTTGTGTTGATGTTCGTTGTATCGACGGTCCTAACAACGTTGTTGCCGATGTATTGTCACGCACTCATATGAATCAACTGTCATCGACACCCATCGACTTGGAGAGAATAGCGGCCGCCCAAAACGATGATCCTGAGCTCGTTCAACTTCGTTCAAACTCCTCATTGAAAGTCACCCAACTGCCCGTACTTAACTCTGACATAAGAGTTTACTGTGATCTTTCAACCGGTAAGCCCTTTGTCCCACAATCGTTTCGCCTAACCATTTTTGATCATTTTCACGGTTATTCACACCCAAGTATCCGCTCCACCGTAAAACTCATTACCGACCGCTTCCTTTGGCCCAATATGCGTTCAGACATTAGACGGCGGGCTAAACATTGCAGTAGTTGCCAAACTAGTAAAGTGCATCGTCACACAGTTACCACCCCAGGTACATTTTCACTCCCTGACGCTCGTTTTAGACATGTGCACGTAGATATTGTTGGCCCTTTACTTCCTTCCAACGGTTTCACTCATCTTCTAACATGTGTTGACCGTTTTACCCGTTGGCCACAAGCTGTTCCCTTACGTGAAACCTCTACCGAATCTGTATCCCGTGCTTTTGTTGAATCTTGGATTTCGCTGTTTGGTGTTCCATCCACCATCACTACCGACAGAAGGGCTCAGTTCAGTTCCACACTGTTCCGCGATCTGAGTCGTTTATTAGGCTGTACTCACAT